ATTCTGTACACAACAGATAAGGCCGGGTGTGTTTGTGTTGGAGGGACACAAAGAGAAGAGAGGGAATAAAAGCACGAGACTTTGCATGTCTAGAAAACACAGGAAAGGGAACGTTTCCAAGAACAATGTGTGATTAGAGTAAAAACTGTAACATCCAATACTGCATGCAGATTGCTCTCAGGTCAGCCTATTGTACTGCTGCTCCAGTGTCCATGGCCATAAATAATGTATATGTGCTATACATGTATACATACAGTCTCTAGAGGTCAGTAGAATGTAAGGAATGGGCAGATGTTTGGGTTTCTGATGTGAGACTTGGAGATGCAGCAAATCAGCTGTTGCTACCTAGAGAAGATGAATATGTTTCTAATGAAGTTTGGAAGTGAGGTAATTAATCAGAGTTAACAAAGAGCTGAATGGAAGAGAATCGTGTCTGTCTTGTTGCGGAAATGAGTGTAAATTATTTGTTTTGGGCAAATTCCTGATAAATGCTCATTTGCGTTCTAAGGAACTTGACAGAAATCCAAACCGTGATTATTGTATTACAGCTCATTATATTGCATCTCCTTCCTACCTTTTCTGAGAGGATCTTTTAGAATGACTGAAATACAAATTCAGATGGTTTCTTTGAGAGATCTTATGTCAAATGCAAAGCAAATCAGGGCTCCAGTGCAGGCAACACATTTTCTTTTCACATTTACACAGTTAACCACGACCAGCCTCAAAAAATTAATAGTCTTATTCTTGTTCACCACTTTCTAACATGAAGTCTTCTGAATGAACTGGTCACTCGTGGTTGAAGGTTCTAATTTCTTTTTTAAAAGTGCTTTCACAGAATCATTTAGGCTGGAAAAACCCTCTAAGAATATCGAGCCCAGCCTATGACTGAACAGCACCGTGTCAGCTACACCAGAGCACTGATGCCGTGTCCAGTTGGTTCTTGAACACCTCCAGGGATGGGCACTCCACCAACCACCCTGGGCAGCCCCTTCCAATGCCTGACCAGCCTTTGGTGAAGAAATTCTTCCTGATGTCCAACCTGAACCTCCCCTAGCACAACTTGAGGCCATTTCCTCCTGTCCTGTCCCTTGTTCCCTGGGAGCAGACCCCAGCCCCCCCTGCTTCCCCCCACCTTCAGTGAGTTGTAGAGAGTGTGAAGGTCCCCCTGAGCCTCCTTTTCTCCAGGCTGAGCCTCCCAGCTCCTTCAGCTGCTCCTGCTGCTCCAGCCCCTTCCCCAGCTCCATTACCTTCTCTGGAACCATCCAGCCCCTCCGTTTCTGGAACATACACAAGTACCTTGTTTAATGTTTCCATATTTTTCTGGAGGAGAATGATAAACTGTTTCATTATCTTGTGGCACTGGTTTATTTTATCTTTTTTTTTAGTCAGCATTGGACCAAGAGGATACAGGAATCCAAATCCACTCTAGTGAACACAGATAATAGGCTTCATTATCTGATGGCATTCTACTAGCAATGATTCAGTTGTGTTGATTCATGGGGACAATGCCATGATGGCACCTGCTGGGTGTGTTTGGTTTCAACACTGTCTAGGTTCTGGGTTTTTTCCTTTGTTTTTACTAACATTGTATTTTTCCTCATCTTCTTAGGAAACATCTGAAATTAAAACAAAACACATGTAGAACTTACTCATACTCACCAAGCATTAATTCACCAACCACCAGTCCAGAGCTTTTCACCTTTAGTCTAGAAAGAAAACACAGTAGCTCTTAAAAAGCGGGACTGGGTGATGAGTGTCCATAGCACACAAAATGTTGCTCAGTTGGATAAATGATTGTGCTGCAACAGAGGTCCTTTTAAGGCCAATTTGCATGGGAAAGTGTGTGGACATGCCTTTGGCACTCTCTCTACACATCTGTGGTTACACATGGGGTTTAATGTCTTTGCAGATGCTGACAGTTGCTTCCCAACCACGCTATTTAAAATATAAACAAAAATTTCTGATTCCAGAGTCAGGCTGTGTTACAGTGGCCCGTGTGTAGTGTTGCATTGTGAACAACGTGGTTGGATTTAAATGTAGTTAGGTGTTAAATGTATCTATGTAAAAAGGTCCTTAGAAATGAGGGGTTTATGTGCTCTCTGTTTCTCTCTTTAAAGAGGCTGTTTGGGTGGTATTTGATATCTCTCTTCTGGTTATGTTGTAGTTATGCTTTGCATTGTGATAGGAGAATTCCTGTCATAGAATTAGTTAGGTCATCAATTCCTTTTCTACTTGTTATTTTTGTTAGTTTGCCTGGAAGCTATGCTTCAAAAACCTCTGATGTCCCTAGGTTCTCTGGAAGGGATCTTTCAAAGCAGTGTACAAACTTGTCTTAATTGTTGCAGGAATCATTCTGATTTTCTTCCCCCGTTGTTCTTTGAATGTACTGAAAACTTTGTTTAAGCATTAGGTATGACAAAGCAAAGATGTGGAAGTGGAGCTCAAAACTTCAGTGTACCTACTTTTGGAGAAGCAGAAAAACTGCCACATCAATTTTCATTAAATGTGTGCTTTTAACATAAAACCATGGAGATAATGAAAGATGTACTTGGAGTCATTATTAGAAACCGAGAAACTAGAATGGCCCCTCAGAATGTACAGAGTTATTTCATGTACTGGACTGGGTGCTGAAGAACCTGTTCTCACAGTTTATCTGTATAAACTGAAGAGCAGCTGAAGTTAATATAACCAAAAGAGAAAAGCTGCCTCTGTAAATGGTGAAGAATTGACTCAGTCTGAAATGATGGCAGACCTTTGGCTTTAGTTGTTTTATGATGATATATTGTATTTTGCTTTCCTGTTTGTTGTGTTTGTGTGATTATCTCAGGCACAAAATCATAATGTTATAACAGCAATGGTCTGTATTTTTAGATCCATTGGCTCTTCTCTACCTCAGTGAGAACTGGATGACTGTTTTGTGGGGGCAAAACTGAGTTTCAGAAATATCACTTCTAAAAAAACACATCTATTTTCATTGGGATTTTTTTTTCCCCTTTTCAGAACTGTAAACAAAAGAATAGTGGAAAGCGGGATTTTAGACCCAACAGCACTTTTGGTGGGTATTTAAGTGGAGGCATATTTTAGGTTTCAGGAATGCAAGGAGTGGACTGGCTCTTCTGTGGACTGTTCTTTATGTCCCCAGTAGGTTCCACAGGGGAATAGGGAGTAACTGGATACAGCAAAAAATACAGAGAAGATGATTCTTTCTTAAAAGAACCTAGGAAAGCCTTCAGGACATTCTCTTTTCAAACATAGATAGAGTGGTGTTTTTAAAGAACAGTTATCAGCAACCAGAGTAAGTTTGTGTTTTTCACCCTACATTTCAATGTAGGGTGAAATGCCAATATTAGAAAATGATGGGTTCTTTTGAATCCACAGCCTAGTAGGTAATCATAATATTAAAAAGTTGTCTGTGTGATTATTTGTGATGAGAAATTGATTTCGTTACTCAATTGGTCCCACAGTTCTGTGTTTAGTGTTTTATTTCCTTGTGACAAGAGGTGTATGCTTAGAAAAGAGGACAAAAGTGCTTACCTCCTAAAACAAACCACACAACTCTGAGAGAATTATGTGCAAACTTGAGTAACCATGGCATTTGGATCTAAAGAAATATGAAATGACAGTAATAACCAGTATCACTGTAAAATTACAAATTATTTCAATTTAAGTGATTTCATTTTTCTGCACACATTTTTAAAGTCTGTCACCGTAAGCTGTTGACTTCATCTTGAACACATTCTGCAGTCTTGACAGTTGAGGATTTGCTAATACTAAATCAGTAATTGTTGGCTTTGAAGAGGGATCCAGCATCTTCAGCGAGAGCTTATTAAACTGTGAAATATGGATTGCCTCTACCCTAATGGCCTCTGAATCCTATTATCATCCCATTAGAGAGTGTGGGATTTTAGTAATTCTGTTGTTGTTTTCAGTGGGCAGCAAGTACAATGGGGAAGGGCAGGGGTTAATGCAATTCATCTCCTGTAATAGTGTAACAGTGAGTCCTTTATCATTCCATGGGAATCTTTTCCCTATTGCAGGGAAAGTGGCTGCAATCAGAACTAACCCCCACCCCCAAAAAAAACCCCAACAAAAACCCCTTGAGATTTCCTTCATTGCCTCCACTTTGTAAACAGAATAGAAATGAATAAGTTGATAAATAAGCAAGTGCCAAGTAGGCTGCGGTCTAGAAGGGTTTTCAATTGCAATCATTATGCCAAGTGGTGTATTGAAATACCTCTTCAGATAAGATCATTATATTTTTAATTATTTAATTGCATTGATACTATAATACTCTGATTGGTTTTCAAAAACACGAAAACACCTTATTCTTTTCCTCATAACTTCCACGTGAAAAATGTAAACGAAAATGTAAAACAAAGGAGAAGAAAACAAGTGGTTTAAGTGGTGAGAGGGGAACTTTTGTACTTGGAATGATAGTTGCCTATTTTGATCTGTAAAAGCTCCCTCCAATGACAGTACATCTTAGTAGAGGAATAATTTCTTTCAAGTTCACAGTCTAAAGGAATATGAAGCATTAATAGGTATTAAGTGGGAGTAGAAGTCGTCACATGCCAAGGTTTTGTCTGCCTTCAGTCGTGCACGAGGCCAGGGTGGAACTTGCTCAGCACCTGCTATGATTTTTTTTTTTTCCCCAAGTGTTTTATGGAGATTGATTTGACAGTTAAATTTCAAATGCTAGAGGCAACTTGCTTCTGATTTCAGAACAGGATCAAAAAGGGGAAGATTTCAAACAGATATTGCAAGATGAGCTGAGAGGGACTTGTCAGTGTAACTTTTCAGATAAACAATATCTGATACGCTGATGTGCGTACCATATTGAGCTGGGATTAGTTTGATTCATGAGATGCTTCTAGCTAATATTTTCCTTTTCAAACAAAGATAAAAGGGATTGTTATTCAAGGCAGTTACTTTACCTTTATTTATTTATTTATTTATTTAAGAAATCAGAAGATACTTGTAAGGCTTGGAGTCTTCATAACGTGTTTTCTCCAGTGTTTGTGTTCGGTTCTTCCATGGTGTTGCCTGTAAACATAGCAGTTGGCTTTATTATGAATAGCCAGATCTTGCATGAAAATAGTAAGGGCTAGAGCAGAATCTGACAGAAATGGACTTCTGCCTAAAGCTCACTGAGTAACAGTCATGTGAGCAGCTTCTTACATCCTACCTGTGTTTATTTATGCCTTTTGCATGTTTGATAACAGAGCCCAAGAAAGCAAAATCTGTACAGAAGCACTTCAGATCAAGTGGTCTATAAATATTAATTTAAATATACTTATTAATTAAATAAGTATTAATTACAAAATGTTAATAAAATCCTCTTTGCAGTCTTCCCTCAGTTCAGTTTGTGGGTCTTTGCAGTTGTTACACATGAATATTTGCTCCCATTCGGCCAGATCTGTTCTCTGTCACTGGTAATTCTGGGTTTTGGAGAAAAGGGATCAGTTGGAACATCACAATTGTTCATCTTTCCAAAGAATGCTGGCAAGAGACAGCCTGGATTTGTCTGCTGTAAGAGTTGCACCTGGATAATCCGCTCACTGGAAATATCCAGTCAGGGGCCAGTAACCCAGTTTTTTTATGGTGGAGTAGATGAGTTCTGTTCTCCTTTACCAGTGGTGAGATTTAAATGCCTTACAGTGTGCTCTGCAAGTAGGTCAGTGTTATAGCTGGAACCAAATCAACTGATTTGTCAGCAAACTCTTTTCCCTCCTGAAAGCACCCTGTTCTTCGCTGGGTAGAGTCCATGTGTCTCTGCAGGTCAAAGCCTCCTTCTGGGAAGTGCTAAACAAATCCGTGGGAAGGTTTGATCTCCTCCCTGAGTTAATAATCTAATTATAACCTGCTTACGGAAAGATAGAGTATCTAAATATTTTAAAGGTTTTCTTCTTGCTTCTGCAACAATATTAAATAAGGTTCCACTAGCAGAAATGTGCTTAATTTGAAAATGGCTTTGTTCTGCCAGATCTCAGAGTGAATCTTTGTTCTAATTAGTAGGACCCGGATGATGACAATAGAATGAGGCAGTATATATTACCTTTCTATATTTGAATTTTGGTTTAATTTTAGAATTTTGCTACATCCTTTCAGAACACAGTTAGTAAACCAAAAAAAATCACTAAGTAGCAGTACTGGTATGGATCCTAATTAATTTGCATACTCTGAAGTATACAATGAAGATGAGTAAATAAGGTTTGACAATACAATTTTTGCAAAAAAAAATTCATTTTAATCACGGAATTGTAACAAAGGGCAGTTTGAGAAGACTTTTGCTCACAGTTTCGTGTATGAACAAAGGAAATGTGTGTGATGACCATCACAAGGGTAAGAAGGGTTCAACTCTACCTTGTGATGCACAAGAGAGTAGCTGAAGTGAAATATTGAAGACATTTGAAGACTAATTTTTTCGGAGTTGTAGTGATCAGTAGATACAAGAATAATCTTCAGCCTTAGTCCATGTGGTTAATGCTGGTGTTTGTATCTAACAGGGTGGTTTTGTGTATCTACCAGGCTCTCACTTGTGATGTATTAGTACCCTAGTATGGTTTGATTACTTCCTATGATAGAACCAATTTTTAATTTGATAACCTTGTTTTATACTGGATTATGTTTTGTGGTGCAGCACTTATTAGGAATATAGCTACTAGAAGGCCCTTTTTACAGAAGGCTTCTCATTACAACTTTTTTTTCAACCCTACACTGCACTATTTTTATTTACATACTTCAAAACTGCTGGTTTAGAATGTTTTATATACTGAAAAGTGCTGGCCTGGATTTATGCTTTTTGTGTTTTGTTTTGGTTTTTTCAAATATAAATTTTATTTTCGTTTAAATATATTGTGATTAAACTTAAACTATTTAAAAAAAACCTACACTTTAAAACGATTAAATTTTTTCAGTTCACTTTTGGCATCAGAATGCTGACCTTGTACTTTAAGTAGTAACATTAATCTGCCATCAAGACCCTGTTGTTTAAACATTTGACATACGCCAGAGAGGTGGAGAAGGGAAACAACAAACAAACAAAACATTTGTGCCAACGAGCTGCATTTTAAATTAACAAACAACGTTGGTGTCTCATCCCAAATAAGAGAGCTGAACATATGAAAGCATGCAGTATTTTCACTCTAATCTGTCAAATAAAAATGCAGTGCTTAGGGGAAGCACTCGGGAAGGTGGAGGTAGATAAACATAGAGGTAAAGGATGGCATAGTCAGGAATGAAGGAACTTTCATGCAGGTTTAGTGGTCAGTTGTTAAACCCTGGGCCAATAACTTAAGCAAAAGGTTGCAGTATAGTCTTCTATAATGTAATGAAATAGTGTATTTGACTGCTGGAGATCATTGACTCTAATAAGTAGTTGTTCTTTTGAACTGATGTTTGATTCTCTTAGTGCTCAATACCCTTTTATTTTACTTTACTTTGGCTCAAAAAGAAGATTGAAATCTAACAAAGTAATCTGGTCCTTTCAAACCCCCCAAAGATTTTGACTTTATCCAGCTAACCTCATCTTTCTGTATGATTTTGTTTCTGAACAGTTCTTTATTTCAAGTGGGGAAAAAAACCCTTTCCAAATGTGGTTTGAGTTGCAGGGGTTTGAATGGAGACCCAAAATGCGTGACTGCAGAGCACAGGGACCATAACCTGCAGCCCCCATTTGTATTTTGGGAGGTAGATTATGCCCTTTGGGATGTACTTGGTGGTGTTAATTTGTCTGCATAGGATGTTTAAGCTAAGCAAGATGATCTGTTCTTGTTGGGATCACAGGTTGTCTCTTGGTCTTATTGGAGATAACTTCCTTAGAAGAAGTCATTTGGGAAGGATAGAGTCTTGTTATGCAAAGGCAGATAATGTGAAAGGTTGAGCTTATTATCTAAAAATAACTGTAAATTAATTAATTCTTTCTTTCAATTTTCTGATCCTGGCATACCACAGGGGGGGAAAGCCAATAAGCTAACTGAGTCAGGATTAGCTTTGTTCTAACTGTAATCCAGCAGAAACTTCTGTTATTTTTCCAAAAAGGCCTGCTAAGCAAACGTCAGGAGGCCCAGCAGTTTGAAAGGTGTCATCCTGCTCCTGCTCCCACCCTCCGTCCTTCTGAACAGCAGGAGCTGCAGTTTGACACTGATCAGCTCAAAAGTCCACTCTGGAAAGTCTGAGGGATCATCTCCCAGGAATGTTTGTTTGAAATGCATGTTCTGAGGGTGGAAAATAACCTATCCATCTGCAATTTTATTATTAAGTAAGAAGTGGTGATTAGCCCTGGAGATTTTTTTGTGTGTTGGTGACCAGCGAAACATCCTGTCAGTGATGTACAAATCAGAGTCCTGAGCTCAAGCTGAACAGTGTGATTGGACCTTTTAGATATTTAAGGCTGGCTGGGCAAAGGACAACAGTCCTTGTTCCTGTTTTCCATGTCAGACTCCAGTAATTCTACATGGAATATCACATTTGTCATTACAGGAACTTCAACACTGTTGCCTTTACCAGACATTATCCTAAATGCAACTTGCTGGATTTCTTGCTGAAAGAGCTTGCTTAAGCAATGAGCCTTTCTGACCTCATAGTGGAATTTTCATTATTTTCATATTATTCATGATGATCTGAATTCATTCAGAGGTGTGAAGTGCAACATCCTTCTTGCAAAGTAGAAATGTTTCCTCTGCAATCTCAGCACTGTGTTCCATACCCATCCTCAACTGCAGGTTTCGTGCACTGTATTTCCAATACCTGTATCTTACACTAGAGCTCTCCAGGTGTCAATGATTCTGTGTGGTGGCACATGTAGAGTGGTTTAATATTTATTCCTTCCCTGCCTTCTGATGAAAAAAAACCCTTTCAACCACATTAACAAAAAGCCTGTCTGCATCAGAATGTCTGCTTTTTTAATTAAAACATTGAGTTGAATTTGTGAATGAATTTGTGCCCTGGTAGCTCTGGCATTTTTAGAGACACAAGTGACACTGACTGAAGCGAGTATTTGATTCAAATAAAAGATTTGACTATTCTAGACACTTCTGACTGTGGGAAAGCCAGGCTTTGCTTGTGGCTTTGATACATTCTGACCATCAGAATGCAGAAAGTGGAAGAGTCATTGTTGCCCTCCCTGCTTTAATCATTCTACTCACTCCCCCAAAATATACCTTAAGTAGAAGTGCTGCTGTTCCTACTACATCATTGTAAAACAATATTCTAGTATTGTCAGCACAAGTTTAGATTAACCACTTAGAAAATAACATATACAGAGTATATACAGAGAGAGTGGTACATAGAAATCAGAAACCAGATTTATAAAATGAGAATTGAGGGAATTGACAATTTCTTTTCACACTGAAGTCTACTAATTCAGGGTGATTATTCCACTCAGCACTGCGTGGAGTTAAATCCCTCTCCTGATGTTTGCAACATAGCATCTTCATTCTTCATTGAAATTTCGAATGCATCTTTCAGCTAGCACAGAACTAAGTTTGTCCTTTTGTGTGTGTGGCTATTGGGATGATATATCGTCTGTTTTCCCACTGTCCTGTTTGCTGACTGCAGAGGAATGGAATGTATCATTGGCTGGTTTGATACTGTGAAAAGGGAAAGCTGCACTTCTACTACAGTAAATTGGAAGGGAAGGTGCTCTTTGTTTCTCTCTTGACCTGCATGGCTTAGTAGTGTTTGTGTTGCCTGTGTGGGCCTTGGCCTTCAGGAAACACTCCTGTGCTGTGCTGGCTTTTTCCAGAAAGGCCAGTTTAGAAGCTGGGAGCCGTGGTGCAGTCACTGCAGTGCATCTCCTGCTCCTTTGTACTGCTGCCAGTTTGTGGATTGTGTTGTGTGCCAGATTACAGATAGAATCCTGATAAAAAGTCTTTGTCTTCCTGATACAGTTTAGGGAATGGGAAAAAAAGTAAGGAAAAAGCAAACAAACCCCAGCCAGGGACATTGCTGGGCTGTGCAGCAAAACTGCAGATTTTGGTATTTTGTGATTGTAGGGAAAAGCTTCATCTCATGCCTAAATCTAAAATCTAAAGGGATCTGAGAAACTCTGGAATATTCTTGCTCAAACTTTGTTTCCATGTGGGTTGTTTTTCATACTCCAGTGCACTGGCAACACTTTGCTGTGTATCCAGCTAACTGTAGGACCTTGGCTATTGGTGTGAGTAAAATGGATTTCACCTTGACACAGTAAACTCATTAGGTGTCATGTATGTCCATTTAGGAAAGTGTATTCTTCTGAAGTTCTGGAGGTTGTTATTCAACTTCTTTCACTTCAAATTAGTAAAAGTAAAAGGTGTATTAAAATCATTAGAGAGAGTGAGTTCCTGCTTTTAGGGGAGCTCAATTTTCTCCTGAGCTAAGTCTCCTGAGATCTGTAGACAGTCAGTGCCAAGATAACATTGGCACCATTTTCTTATTGCCATGGTGATCTTCAGCTCTGCTGAATACTCAAGGGAGACCATGGTATTTTAAAGCAAGTAGAATTTTGGTAATTAAAAAGGCTGGAAGGAAGGATCTTTCTAAATTTTGCTGGCTTAGGTAAATACGGATAATGATTTATGTCTGAATAGGACAGTTATTAGTCTCCTTTACTAGATTAGCACAGAATAATAGTCAACTCCAAAGACTCTGATGGTTGGAGGGGGACAGGTGGGATCTCCAGTGTGCCATCAGCGTCCAGATTCCGAGCTGGGATCTCCAGCGATCCTCCCCCAGGCACTGGGCAGGGGCCATGGGCACCTGCGCTGGAACAACACTGCCCTTTATCCATGGGGCACGGTGAGAGCTCTGATCTGCAAGAGGAATTAAGGGCAGGAGTACATTCCAGAAGGTTTTCCAATTAAGCTGTTGCTGGCAAGTTGGACTCCTCCTCTGGATGCAGTTTTATTGAACGCAAACTTTACGCATTACTGATGGCTGTGAATTTTTCAGCCTCTCCACCGTGTCTCTGTCATGGCCCAGTTTTCAGCTCTGTGTGGTTACAGAGTGAGTCAGCATTTGGGCTGGGTTTGTGATAGTCTGATATTCCCTCCACTTTTTTTTTTCCCCCCTTTCTTCTTTTTTGACCTTTTCAAGCATCCCAATCAATGCACAAGGGCAGTGTAAAGCATGATGAAAGCCAGGATGGTGAGACACCTGCTATGCTAATATGTTTGGGCGAAAAAAACCCCAAAAATATTACAAAACCTTGGTACTCTCATGATTTCAACCCATTATTTCAGGTCAAATTTAGCCCTTCAGCCATACAAGCTATTTTTGAAAGGCTGTGTACTGTCTTGAATGTTTATGTAAAATATGCTCTTGGCAAAGAAATAAGCATTTGAAATGAAACTTAAATTGTTGTGTGTTTAAACTTCTTGAATATTTTGTCAAAACATACAAATGATTGTATCAATTCTTTTTGACTGCCTCCACCCATATGCTTCTGCTCATTGATATCTGTTAATACTGCTTGTGATTGGGGGGGGGGGCATTCTGAAATACTTCTTTCATCATGTATGATAAATTTAAGTTTTTTAACTTGCAAAGTAGAAAATGAAAGCTGTATTCTCCTTTAATGTGCAGTTTAATCATGTCACACCTGAAAGATGCCCATTATGCTTATAAAGCGTTAAAAGAGATTTCAGTCCATTTGGTATGTTAAAAACCAATTTCCTTATCAAGCCAGATTTTAAGGCTTGCTGAGGCAGAGCTCCCGCTGCCCTGGTGACTTCAGAAATGTATAAATGTGATTCCTTCAAAATGGAATTAGTGTGGAAACCACTTCTCATGACACTGAGGATAAAAACTGTGGGTGACCCTACCTGCAGTGGTAAATGCTGACTCCCCAGAAGGAAATTCCTTCTTGAGCACGTGAGACGGGAACGTTGAGACACGTTCGAGCAAGTCATTGCTGGGATTGCTCTTCGAGGTTGCTCTTGTGTCTCTCCTCCTTACATTTCCACATTGATGCTCTGAGGTAGATTGCAAAGGAAACATGTGAAAGATTTGGGATTAAATAGGAAATTTGTGGTTGCTGTCAGATGGGTGCATACTTACTGTTTCCCTTTTTTGGATGTGCCCTTAAAAATAGCTGTGTTCAGGGATAGACTAGAACTTCCTTCGGGGCTCTTCTCTCTGGAGCTGTGGAGCAGCATTGCTGCTGGGGAAGCAAAGGTTTGGCAGCTTTGCACACTCTCCAGCACAGCCAGCTAATGAAGAAAAATAGTGCCATTCTGGGGGGAATACAAAGCAGGTGTTGTGCATGTGCACATACACCCACCCCTTATCCCCCAGTTCATCTGTAATCCTCCTGATTCGCTTTGGATGCTGTTGCCTGAGCCCAGGCTGTGCCAATATGTGTAACACCACAATTTCACTTCTGAAGAGGTAGGTGGATTTGGACAGCTCTGTATCAATTCCTGAGGACACAGAGTAACTTTCCCCAAATGGTTCAGTCTCTAATTAGTGGGCACAGAGCCTTGCCAAGAAATGTATTTCTGGCAGAGCTCCACTTTGCTGAGCGGGTCAGGATTTTCCTGATTTTTATCACTGTACTTTATATGTGATTGATTTTGTTCAACTGAATGTAATCCCCCAGTTTGTTTGGTTTGTCATATCAGTGTAAATGAAATTAATAATTGGTGGGGTAATATCTTCCAGATTTGTGTGTGGTTTTTTGGTTTTGTGGTGGTTTGTTGCCTTTTTTTTCCCCACCCTTTTTAATGTATTTTAAAAAGCTATATTGAAAGCCACCATTTAGGTAGATTAGAAGCATTCCAGCTTCTCTAGTTATTTGCATTGGGTTGTATTATTTAAAGGCCGTAATCTAACTGTGCTCTACATTTACCTTCTTTAAAAAGGATAAACCTGTTACTTGCCTGGCTCTGAGCAAGGACTACAGTAAATAAACAAACCCAAGTCTCTATGTAGTTATTTTTAGCTTAACTAGACTACTTTTCTTCTTATTTCAGTTCAAGATGAGATGAGAACTGCAAATAGCCTAAATTAGTCTGTAGCATTTATATCTTGTTAGGTTTCCTGCCTTGGAAAATATGCAGGAAAATGATTATACGTGGTATTCATCTAGAGGCTGATGAGTTTGTTATAATTATGAAGGTAGATGTAATGAGATGAAAACATCTCTTTCTTTAGGCTCTCTGAGGAATTCCTTCTCTCCATATGCTGTTGAGTTAACTGTTTTCTAACCAAAGAGTTCCTCAGCATTCACTTGTGATATTTTGGGGAGTTTCCTCAGTTACTGTGTAGGAGATTGATTGGCAGCTCTGGTATTAGCATTTATAGGTGATAACTAATTAAATTCTCCATGCACATGGGTGGATAATAAAGACCCCTTCACATCTCATTTATTAAGGCAAATCTCCAGTGTAATTATCATTTTACCATTATTTAGCATGCTAAATAACTTGTTGTTGAGTAATTTTGTAGTTCCTTCTAAAATTCAGACTGAACTGAGATATAAGTATAACTAAACTCTTCATCATTACAACTTGAACAAAGTTGTAATATAGTAGTTTGGGTTTATACTTTCTTTTCTCTTTCAGAATGTACATTTTTTAGTTTTTTTCAGCTCAAAGTTTGAAACTAATTTTATCATTCCTAGACTGTCTTCAAATATTTAAAAGGCAGTATGAAGCACTTAGCTGAGGAAACTGGAGGACTTATCACTTCCTGTACAGGGAACAGTGTTAGCAAAGAATCTGTGAGAATGGCACTACAAGTATTTACTATTTGATAAGGAATGCTGAGTTTCCCTGATGTAACAGTGATATAACAGTAGATTAGAAATTGCTCTTTTTATTTCATTTGTTTTGATGATTATATTTCTGTTTGTGTGGGGGTAATAAATTTCTTTTTAAGGCTGTGTCCCTTCCCCAAAGGATTCTATCCATATGTGTTTTTTTCAGTGTGCTTTTATTTATGTTAGTAATGTGTATGTGCATCTTTACATGCATTTGTCCAATGGAATCTGTTCAACTGCTTGTGTTTGAGAACTGGTTGCAGTGCACTTAACTTCATGTGAGAAGAGATCTTGACACAGTAAACTGAGACTGGAAAAAGGTTTCCATCACTGTGATTGATAAACTTGTAACATTTTTATGATATGATTTGCATACTTAGATATCTATAAATTAAGAATATGTGTATATATATGCACAGCCATACCTACGTTCTCCATGTGCAGTCTCATTAATCTTTGCCTCAGTTGGGTTTTTGCCATTCCCACCTGTCCATGCTTTTGTTTTCCTGGTTTTTTGGTTTTTTCCTCCTCCCCCCCCATGTTGCTTCTCCATTCCTTTGATTCAAGCTCAACTGCTTTCTTATGTTTTATTTTCTAGGCACACACAACTTAAAGTACAGCAGAACAAATGTTGTTCCTCTCTGTCCCACCCCTGTTGTTACTGTAATTTCACAAAGGTTTGGTTGACTTTTATGTGGTGATTCAGATTTCTGGAGGAAAATGGGGCTTGGGGATATTGTTCTGCACTTCTTTTGTTCATTGGTACTGTACCTGTAGAAGTGGTAATTTTTGGAGAGTCCTACACTGACTCTTTTGGTGTGAACTTTTATGACAGCAGAGGTTTCACCCACGATTGCAGGATGACTCTCTCTTTGTCTGATGTGATTCAAGATTTCAAAGTAAGAAATAGCATGAGTTCTTCCTTCACAGGGAATTAGTTTCTTCCTCAACTGTCTTCCCAGGTTCTGCTGTCACAGTTTCCTAAGGCTTCACATAAAGGTGACCTAGAATTGAATGTTTTTTTTGACGAGCTTAATTATGTAGATATTTAGTCATCGTTCACCTTCTATGCTTCTAGTAATGCCAAGCCACAGTTTGCAGCCAAACAGAGCCCTTCTGGCACAGGAGGCATGTTTACATTTTTCACAGCAAGTTGAGATCACTGCCTGATCTAAGTTTTTTTATTAGGGAAATATTCAGAAGGATAGCAAGAGACCTTTACACCAGTCAGATGTCCTGGTGGGTTTTTAACATGTTCTACAGGAGACAGCCCTTCTCGGGCTAGATCAATTTCTAACTAAAATATAAACTATCTCTACCTTTTTTGCTTTCTTGACTATCCAACATCTCTTTTCCTTAATCCTTAAGTCTCTCGTGATGTGAGGTGATGAGATGCTACAGGAAAAGGGAGAGGGCAGTTGTTCTGTGGTGACTAAAGCAGTAAATGTGCATTTGCTTTACAGTCATACAGTGAATGTCCACTCAGATTAGAGATAATGCATTTACAGTTTGGGAAGGCTTTATCAAACAGGTCTCTGCAGTTTAGGATGTGAGTAGGGGCGCTGTGAGTGACTTTGCAGTAGCAGAGGCTTTCTCAGCTGTTGTCAGTTCTTATGGAGCTCTGGAGAAATGCATAACTAAAAAGCATCTGGCATCAGTGTTTGTGAACTAGACTCTCTCTCTTTCATCTTGGCAATCCTTGAAAACTGAAGTAATTGCCACTGGGATTGAGGTGGATGTAGCTGTGGGAGTAACTTTGTGCAGGGCTGCCCACACTGTTCAGGTTTTTGTAGTAGGCAGAAGATGAGTGGGGTTTGATTCACCTCATTTTCTGTTATTACAGCTACTGTCTGCCTCTGTATCTTATGTTCCTTGGGTTTTTTTTAAATCTTGAATGGTATTTTCTTACAGGCTTTGTTCCTTGGCAGCAAATACTCAAGATTTAGGAAGGAGGTGTAGGCAAGTGTGCTGATGTGCATTCTGCCTCATGAACAACCTCATTCCATGTTTCTTTAAGTGACAGAGTGATATGACTTATGCATGGCACTCTGGCTTGGTTTGTAAAACACTGTTTTTCAGTAGGCTGTTACTTCACAAGTGCCTTTAGTATAACCTTTCACGTCGTGCATTAAAATCCCCAACTAATTTCTTTAAATTCCTTAGTCACTGAAGACTATTTATGTAAGTGACTGAAGATACAGATAACTTGTTTGTAAACTGCATAAGCATCTAAATCTCACTGGTGTGTTTCTATTTTTAAGTGTTGGCAAAAAAAAAAAAAAGAAGGATAAAATAATTTTAAAAAAAAAGAATTGGAGGCTGCTAAGGTTCCTATACTGCAGAGAGAAAAAAAAAGCTTGTAATATTCTCCCAGATGAAAATTAGCACAGAAAAAGTTAGCCACTTTGTACATTTTACATGGTGGAGGGTAAAAGTTCTACTTTTTTTCTGTATTTCTGTAGCTTTTGTTTTTTGAAACTCTTAATTTACTAAAAATTTCATGATGATACACAGGCATATTGTGTAGATTTGTGTTTTGGATCTTTTAATCATTGATCCATCCTATGTCAGTGTTTATATTTTGAGGTGTTCCAGTGACAAAAGTCCTTGGATTGTTAAATAATTCTTAGATTACATCTGTCCTGTGAGAACCTGACAAGGAGGGGTTTACACTAAACCTGCATTTGGGAAACTCCAAGTTTTGTTCTGATAGCTGGCTGGGCAGCTGTGCTTTTATTTCCACCTTTTAATTTCGCATTTTAGCAACAAGGACATTTCCCAAGAACTCTTTTTTAGGGGCTGCTTCGAAATGAACGAAACGCTTTGGAGACCGGGCCATTCCCATAACAGGGAAAGCTGGAAATTTCACTGTGGAGTTGTGCTGTTGCTGCCAAAGTGACCTTGGTTGGTGGAGAGATGACAGAGTGCTGTGCTGGCCGCGCCTGACAGCAGCGCGATAGCGGCGCCGCTGACAAATCGCTCGCATTAAAATGGGGGGCACTTTCGGCAGCACCGGCGTCCCCATCCATCAGTCCTGATTACTACACAAACGTCAGCCCCGGCACGGAGCGCATTTGTCAGAGGGAGTAAAAAGCAGTTGTTAGTAGGAGCACTACCTGTCACGGTAATGGACTAAAGCTCACCGCGTTCGCACTCGTGGATTTGCAAAACGGCTTGTCCGGGGCTCGCAGAAAACACACTTTGTGTTTGTGCAGTGCAGCGGGGTAATTAAACGGGGAGAATTACAAATATGGATGATTGAAAAGTTTCTCGAGTGCTTGAAGCTACCTCAAGTGCATCTGAGAGAGACTGTCTTCCATAGAGTGCTTAAAGCAGTAGGGAATCAAAATGCACACTGGAAAATGGCTGATTCGGTTAGGTTTGGTTTGGGGTTTTTTTAATGCTAATTAAGAAACTATAGAATTGGAATTCATTCCAAAATTTAAGTACTTGCAGAATTGGGTAGGGGTTGATATTTTTGGTCATAGCTACTGATTCCTTCATCTTTCTTGCATAAGGGTTGTATGTGCACATCAAAGCACTGCAGAGTTAGAAACTTCGTCATACAAGGCAGATTGGTTTTGTCATAAAGGAATTAAGTAAATGTGGAAC